AAAAATAAAATGTAAACCCTCTGAATGTATTATAGATGCCAAAATTACATTTAAAAATTCATGAGACCCTATGGGATCTGTGGCCAGATGGAGTGGTAAGAACATTGATTCCCAAGACTTTCACAGCGGAGAGCAGGCTAGCTTGAAGGACCCTCTTTCTCAAAGGAGATGCTCTATCTTTGCAGATGAATCATTTCATGGGAGTGATGGTTGACCTTTTTCCTCATTCTTTGTCAAGATGCTGGGGATAGCTTTGAGAAGATCTTAACCAGATTGCTTAGCTGCAGTTGAAAATTCAGCCGTAGCTTTGTGCTGTAAGCTTTGCCCATCTCTGAGTGTGTGATGACAATATTTGTCATCTATCTACAGGGGTCATTGTGGCATGGTTGTGATATAGGAAAGGCACAGAAGTTTTATATCTGAAAGATCCAGGGTTATGTCTTAATATTGTGGCTCACTATTTAGCTAGGGCGAATAACTTACTCTGGCTCCCTCAACTACAGTGTGGGGATGAGACTAATCAATAACCCACCAAGTTCACAGAATCATTGAGTGCAATAATGTGCATGAAGTGCTGAATAAACCATAAATCATTAAATAAGCGCTGGTTAAAAAACCTGCCTGCTAGTTGCTACATGTCGCTTTGTTGCTTAGGAATGCCCCTTGTAATTGGAAGATGGAAAGCCTGCATCTTATTGCCCATGTGTTTATGAGTGGATATTTCCCCAGTATGCCTCTGGGGGAATCTCAGATGCTTCTGAGGACAGGAACGAGCCAGGGCATGTTTTCTTGGCCCATCCTTTGTCATTTGATCATTCTGGACCCCGGTGAATTCTCTTGTCCTCCACAAAGACATTCTTCAGTTTATTAGTTACTATAATTACATGCACACTTGTTTTCAGTTCCACAGATATTTACTGAGCTCTTCAGATAAGTCAGACTCTATGTGGAGATGATGTGGAGGGGTGATGAAAGGAAGAATGAGACGTGTCTGTTTTCAGGGAGCTTGGTCCAGGGGAAGGATGCCCTGGAGCTTGTGGTAAAGAATGGGGAAGGTTGAGGGAGGAGAATGTTCTCATAATGAATATTTTTGAAGATATTGGTCAGCATCCTTGAAGTTATTCACTGTACCCTGAAGGAGAAGTTGATCTCCATTTTGCAGGGGAGGAAGCTGAAGCTTAAGTTAATAAGTAATCTCACCAGAGGATGCTGGGGGAAAAAAGCTCTTAGGTCTAGAATGTCCCCCCTGGTTCATCTTCCAGTCCTTTTATATCTGTCCCCGGTGGTAACATCCTACCAGCAAAATATCATCACTTCATTCAAACATCCAGGCCGACCCATTCTTTCCTGCCCAGAGGTCTTTCCAAGGTTCTTCCTTCTGCCTGGAATGTTCTTCCCTCAGCTATTCCACCCTTCATTGGATGGCTAATTATTTCATTCCCTTAGGTTTTTGCTTAATTTTCACCTCCTTACAGAGGATATCCTGAGCTCTGCCACCTGAATATCCTCTGATGGGACTTTCCCTTCGTGGCACTTGCCTCATTTCATAATCATGTTTGCTTATTTGAGGCCTGTAAGCCGCCCGCTTTTTTCACCAGGTGTTTTTCACAACCCTTGGCATTGAGTATAGAGACAGTGTGAGACTCACTTTGTGCACTTGGGTGTGCATGAAAAATTAGTTTACAACATTTACAAAACAATCTAACTTATTTCAAGTCCCCATCTCATGGGGTTGACAGGACTCCCTGATGTCACTCTCTCCCTACTCTATATCTTGGGCAGCCTCCTTCTGCTTTACTGTCTTGGGAGGGCAAAGGGCCTGCTCCTCTACCCTTCCCCAGCTTCTGGCCAATTGCTGTGTCTCTTTTGCTAACCCACTTCATTTTTCTTCCCTCAAAATCTCTCTTGGTTTCCTAAGCCTTTGGCTCTGGGTGTGTGTGTGGGGGAGCAGAAAAACTGGTAGGCTGTTTCTGCTTTCCGTCTTACCCATCTTCCCTCTCCCCCCAACAACATTCAAAGCAGGTAACTTGCCCAGGAATAGGAGTAGAGGAGGAGCATGAAAGATGAGCAAGAGACTCCTATCTCAAAATGCCATGCTGGCCACAGAGACATTGGAAGAACAGGGCTGGAAGTTGGATTCTTCAGTGAAAGAAACTTCAGGGACAGTGGTGCTGTCTGGAGATTGGATTTCTGTCAAAGCTGAGTTCAGGTTTACTGCGGGACTTGTGGATTATAATGGGATAAATTACTGCAGAGTAACAACAATAGTAAATAATGAGTGACATTTACCGAGCACGTATTCTGTGCCAAGCATCGAACTGGTGTTTTATATATAGCATCTCTAACTCCAGAGTTTGGGCCCTTTCTCAGTGCCATGCCACCTCTCCCGGAAAACAAAGATCTTACTCACCACAGGCCAGTCAACAGCAAATGGCACTGGATTCTCTGCTTTGGGGAGCAGTGAGATACTTTCATCAAGAGCCTAAGAAACAACCCTGAGGCTTGTCACTGTCTTATAAAACTCTTCAGTCTGCTAATTTAGGGTTCCTGATGAAATATTGGTCTACTAGGGCTTGGGGCATAGCTCACTGGGTGGAGTGCTTGCTTGGCATGCACACGACCCTGGCCTCAACTTCCAGTACAAAAACCAAAAAACAAAACAAAACTGCTCTATTGGCCAAGCAATCTGTTTCTTGGAGGTCAAAACCATTCTGAATGTCACCTACCTACTTTGCTTTGCATGGTTGGCATCTTTAATATGGCTCTAAGACTTAGCTTACTGCTCTTATAAGCTAACTTTCACTTATTTTGTGTGTATACTTTATCATTTTTTCATGTTGCAAGTTATCTGAGGACTTTTGGGGGCTAGTGTCTCTTAATTTGTAGTAGTATTGCAACTAGCTAACATTTACTGAGCACATACTGTATCTGTTAGTCACTGTCCTAAGTCCTTTACACAGATGGGCTCATTTTATCTTCTCAGTAACCCCATTGTTATCCCATTTTACAGAAGGAGAATCTAAGACCCAGAGAGGGTAATAAATATTTTGCTCAAGGTCACACAATTATCTAGTAGCCAAGTAGGGCAATGAAGTGAGGCCACTTGTCTTCAGGCCCTTTCGTAGCAAAGCTACAGTTTCCTCAAAAAATGAACCTGAGAAGTTAGTGGTATATTACAGACATGAATGGCACGGATTTTTTTTTTTTGTGGGGGGGTTTCTGGGTATCAAACTGAGGCCTCATGCATTCATGCATCCCAGGAAAGTGCTCTACCACTGTGCCATATCCCAAGCCCTGTCATGGAAGGTTTAGTGGTTGTGGGAGGGCATCAAGACACGATGGTGGGGTGGTGGTATGCCATACAAGGTTAAACATTAGACAGGAAGTCATAATGCCTGGGCTCACTTCTTGGCCATGCCTCCTTGAGCCCTGGATCTTGGGCAAATCACTTAAACTTCCTGAGCCTCATTTTCTTCAGCTGTCAAATAGGATACTCTGCCCCAGGGCGGGTTGTGAGGGATCAACAAGAAAATGAGTATCAAAGTGGCTTGTGTGCTGGAAAAATCCGCCTCAATTTTGGGTGCTGAAGTATCATTTTTGTCAAGAGAGTGAAGGATGGGGATAACGAGGAATGACCTGGTAATCACAAGAGAGGCAGGGCTCCCTGGCCTATTGATAAGAGGGCCACTTTCTCATATCCTTTCTACCAGTGCCCTGATGTCGGTGCCACTCATGCCTGATTCCTGCTCAGCCTGTGACTTGGACTCAGAGTCCCTTCTCTGGGTCCATCAGCTAGGGGGCCTGTTTGTAAACTACAGCTATTTGAAGCTAGAAAGGAATTTATTAAAGGAATATTAGTATTTGGGGAAGGAACAGAGAGTCAAGAATCATGACCAGCCGTCACATGAGAAACAATGTTTCTCAGGCACACAAGCCTCTGCCACCATTGCTCAGGGAACAGCCACTTGGCTTTACTCCTCACCTGCTTGCAGAGGTGGACTCCCCATGCACATTGCTCACTTCTGCTTTCAGGTCTTACACTGGGGAGCCTGACTGGTGGGAACCCAGGTCAGTGTCTGTATTCTAGCTGCAAGGGAGTCTGGGAATGGGTTTTCTAGCTTCTACTTTGGGAAGAGAGGACTTACAATGTGTTACCAAAAATGTAAGAGAAGAGTTTCAAGGATTTTGGTGGCCACAGATGACAAATATCTGTTACAATGGCCTAGTTCCTATCATGTTGGATCCCAAGACAGTGATTTCAGGAAATGGCTGAGAGAGGAAACAATTCCAGAGGGCTCCAGGTCCATTTGTGAGGAACCCAGAGAATGGTGTGCTTGTGTCTCCAAATTTGAGTGGTAGGTTGGGGTGGGTCCAGCTCCATAGAGGACAGACCATGTGGGTGTCACATGTGCCAGACAAGCATCCTGGGGCTTCAGTATGCAGGGTGAGAAGTTTAAATCAGTCTGGACTATGAGGAAGGATGTGAAGGGGTAACTTCTGCTCTGAGCTTGGCTGTTTCTGGCTTCTGCCTTTGCTGTCACCTTTTCTGTCACCATCTGAGCATTTGACATACACCCTGAGCGGCCATCCTTTGTGCATACAAAGGACACTTTTGTCATAAAAATGAAGACCACATCAGGAAAACACTGTAGGGGGCTGACGAGTACGGAGAGAGGATACCAGGAGACCTGTGGCACGATGGAAGCATACATTATGTCTAATAGGAGGAGATGGTAGGAAACAAATGGGGGGGTGGTGGTGTCAGCATCTACGGCTCATTCTGCTCTGGAATGAGAGCCGAACTGGGGCTTCTAAAGTCTCTTCCACACTACACACCTGTAATCCTAGCCACTTGGTCAGCTTGAGCAATGTAGCAAGACTGTCTCAAAAAGTGAAAAGGGCTGAGGATATAGCTCAGTAGTAGAGCACCCAGGGGTTCAATCCCCAGTATCACAAATAAAAAAAAAAAAAGAGGCAAATAAATAAAATCCTTTCCAGGGGAGATTTTATTCCATCATCCCAGAGGGGCAGAGGATAGAGTAAGGAGCTTGTGAGGGTACTCTGGGTAGGGTAGGAGTCTCCAATGGGGCTCCTGGGAGAGAAGGACCTATGTTCAGCATACTCCCTGGGGTGGGATGGGGTTTTGGACAGATACAATATACAGGATATACAGGGCCGATACACCAGGGCTCCCAGGTTGGCAAGATCCCTGCATTCTGTCTCAGCATGAAGGTGGCTGTTGTCTGATTTTATAGGCTCTAAGAGAGGGGCCGGTCTATGATGTTGAGGGTAGATTGATGATCAGAGGGAACCTCCTGCAATATTTCCAGCAGGGGAGGGCTCCAGCGCTGTCGAAACTCTCTAAGGAAGTGAAATGACACACAGGGTAGACTTGGAATGAAGACATTTGGCTCAGAGGAGATGAAGGAGGGATAGAGTGAACTAGTTTGCTAGAGCTGCTGTAACAAAATACCATAAATGGAGTAGCTTAAAAAACAGACATTTACTGTCTCACAGAAGTCTGACATCAAGGCATCCATAGGGCTGGTTCCCTTTGAAGATGCTAGGGAAGGACAAGTTCCAGGGCCCTCTCCCAGCTTCTGCTAGTTCTTTGGCTCATGGTAGCATAAACTCCAGTCTTGACATGGTGTTCTCCCTGTGTGCCAGTGTCCAAATTTCCCCTTTTATAAGCATACTGAATAAGGAGTCCTTCCTACGCCACTGTAGCCCAGCAATGACTTTATTTCCAAATAAGGCACACTCTGAGGTACTGGAGGTTAAGACTGCAACATATAAATTTTGGGGAACACAAATTCAACCCCTGACAGATGGGTCTCACATTCTGAATTTTGGGACACAATTCACATTTGCCTTCTATGCCGTGACTGGCATCTTCTTTCAACTTCCTTCTCACCGTCCTGTGAACTGGGAGGGCAGTGGGAGGGCAGTGGATGGCCTGGAGCAGTTAAATGGCCATGCCTAGAACCTTACCTTCAGATTTGATACCTGAATCTGTCAGCAGCCTGCTTCCCAGTCATGAGATGGAGGTTAGCAAGCCTTCCAGAAACTCCCCCTAGCACCTGAAATGGGAATAAAATAGCTCACTGAGATGAGGCAGGGAGTGTGGAGGGGGCCCACCTAGGAGGGGGCCTCCTAGCACAGAGTGGCAAGCACAAAGCAAAGTGGGTGTTCAGTAGATCCTAGCACCCTTTCCTTCTTGCTCTTGGAAGGCTGTGCATGCAGAAGCCCTTTCCTTGGTTTGACAAGACCCTGAGGAGGGCAGGGGTCAGAAAAGTGCCCAAGGTCTCAGGACCTGTTCTTTCTTCCTCTCCACTCCCCTTGCTGATCACATTTGTTTGCTTCCCCTACTGGCTCTGGCCATTCCACTTTCTGCTCCCCATCAGTTCCACTCCCAGCTCTTCCTCTTCATTGTGTTTGTCCAGGAGATTCAGGAACGTGGCTTCAACAGATGTTTATCAAGGGACTGTTACATGGGTCTTGTTGTGATAGGTGTCCAGTTTCACAGACCCAGGGATGGTCAGATTGGGGTCCAGTAGCTCCTTCCAAAGGCCTTTGCCCTTGCAATATGATATGTGACTTCAGATGGTGCGGGTGTGTGTGTGTGTGTGTGTGTGTGTGTGTGTGTTTATGCTGTGGCCTTGAGTGGAAACTTAGCCGCAAAATTTGAGTTGCACAGAACTTTGGAACACTCCTGTTTCAGCTTCCTCTGGCTACAGATAGGGAAACCGAGGTCCAGGGAGGGGAGGTAATATGCCAAGGTCAAATGTTGGGTGGTGCAGGGCGCCAGAAGCCAGGCCTTTGAGGGTCATAGGCTGTACTGAGACTTAAAGGGAAAGTGGTGCGTGCTTCGGGGGTCAATGATCTATGTTCCCAAGGTTGAGGGACTTGCATTTGCGGAGGGGGTCGCTTTCAGAGTTCTGGAGCCAAGAGGAGACTAAAAGCAAGGTGGCGGAGCGTGTTTGGGGGATTGTGGGAATTTAGGGCCATGCACCCGCCCCCAGCAATGCGTGGGGCGCCTGGAAAAGGGGCGCGTGGGTAGGTGGGGTCCTGCGGGGGCCGGGGCGCCGGGCCTGGCCGGTCGGGGCGGGGTGAGTCACAGCCCGCCCGCTCCCATTGTGCGGCCCCGCGGCGGCGGCGGCGGCGGCGGCGGCGGCGGAGCCGAGCGCGAGGAGGTGGAGCCGCAGGCTGCGGGCTCCAGCGCCTGCGTCCGACAGGCCCGGCTTGCGCGGCGAGAGGCCGGACGGGAGCCCGGTGGCCGCGCCCCGGAGCGCATTGGGAGGGACATGGGGCGCGGCGGCCCGCCCCGGTCCCGCAGGCTCCGGAGCCCTCAGGTACCGCGGGCGGGACGTGGCCGCCAGGAGGGGCGGGGGCTCGGGCTGTCCCGGGAATGGCTGGGCCTGGAGGGACACTCCAGCCGGGTGAGGGGAGCCACCCCCGGGCGGGGGCCGTCAGCGCGAGCATCCTGACCCCGCCCTCCACCCCCAGGGCTCCCCACTAGGCCTCCGCAGCGCCCCCTTCTTCTCACCCGGGGTTCTGGTCCCTTGGTGAACTGGAGCCTCCCAAGCCGCCCGCCCAGCCATGGCCAACGGAGTGATCCCGCCGCCCGGGGGCGCCTCCCCCCTACCCCAGGTGACTGACGTTGGAGGGGAGGTGGGGGGAAGAGGGGCCGGAGGGACCCTGCTGAGGCATGGTGGTTCTCCTGTAGGCTCTGGGACCCCCATATGTGCTTATCTCTCTGGGCTGGTGGAATGGAGAAAGAGGGGTCTTTGATATTTTTCAGATCCGTGGCCCCCTTCCCTCCCAAGGCCTGGTTGCCTGCAGGGGATTAGGGGGCTGAGGGCTGTTGAAGATGGAGCCTGCTGGTTGACCCCGCCTCCAACTAGGGCATGAAGTTGGGGTGGGTGTGGGGCATTCACAGCCCAGGGGTCCTTAGGAGATGCTGTCTGGGCCTGCAGGTCCGGGTGCCCTTGGAGGAGCCCCCTCTAAGTCCAGACGTGGAGGAGGATGATGATTTGGGCAAGACCTTGGCTGTGAGCAGGTTTGGGGATCTCATCAGCAAGCCCCCGGCCTGGGACCCTGAGAAGCCCAGCCGCAGCTACAGCGAGCGGGACTTTGAGTGTGGGTAGCTTGGGGACCCCTAGTGTGGCTGCCCTCACCACCATCACCTTCATCACCACCATCACCGTGCTCACCTTCGGCTTGGTCACCTAGTGCCATCCTGTGCTGGACACTGTGCTGGACTCTGTGCTGGGCCACCATGCCATGTTAAGTCATTCTGCCTTTCTCACCCACCACCTATTCACCTGCCAGGGAAGCAGGGGCCCAGACCAGGGAAGATGTAGGGAGATGGGCCTGAGGCCTCACTCAGTGACCTTCATCTTCCCCTTTGGCCCTGCTCACCCTCCTCTCTGCCATGTGGTGACCCCTCTCAGCTCCTCCTATGCGTCCTTGCTGTATCACATCTTCCCCGACCCGAGGCTCTCTTTTGTGACCTTCCCTCTCCATCACTCCTGACCCCCACTCTGTCAGGCCTCATCAATGATAGGAGCATGGACACAGATGTTGGGGGGAGCCAGGCCCTGGAGGAAGGACTAGGGTGCCCTCCTTTGAGGCCTTGAGCTAGAATAAGGTGTGTGCCCCTTGGGCAGGGAGGCTCCCCTGCTGATGCGGGGGCCTCACCAGCTCTCCTGCACCCCTAGTTCACCGGCACACATCCCATCACACCCACCACCCGCTCTCAGCGCGCCTGCCTCCACCACACAAGCTGCGGCGACTGCCCCCCACCTCTGCCCGGCATACCAGGAAGAAGGGGAAGAAGGAAAAGACCTCTGCTCCTCCCTCTGAGGGGACTCCCCCCATCCAGGAGGAGGGGGGAGCTGGAGCAGATGAGGAAGAGGAGGAAGAGGAGGAAGAGGAAGGGGAATCTGAGGTAGAACCTGTGGAGCCCCCACCATCAGGGTCTCCACAGAAAGCCAAGGTAGGGACCTGCCACTTGAATGAGGGGTGGCTGTTCAGGGAAGGTGCACAAAGGATGGAGGAAGAAGGGTGGGGGCTAGTGCTTGCTGAGTGGTGAGTTGGGCCCAGGGCACATCTGTCTATCCACAGTTCTCCATTGGCAGCGATGAGGATGACAGTCCTGGCCTCTCAGGGAAGGCTGCTCGCACCAAGCCCCTGCCCTCGGTGGGACCACGCCCTGACCAGAGCCCCCAGCCTTCGCTCAGGTACTGGCCTCAGCCCCATTCAGCAGGCTCTAGCCCAGCCCAGAGTAGTTAGGCACAAGGCTCTTGATAGTCACCTCCTTCCTAACCCTGAGGAGTGTCCCCAGGTGTGACCCAGAGAGGAGGGAAGGTGGGGAGCATTATATGTCTCCATAGTTTACAAGGGGGAGAGAATAAGAGAAGACAGGAAAGAGCAGAGCCAAGAGTTGAGTCCTCTAGGCCTGAGGTGTCAGAAAGGAGAGGACAGGGTACAGGCAGGAGGAGGAGGGCTGGCCTGATGGGTGAGGGAGGCCTGTGTCCGGTGCCCAGGTGTCTACTCCAGGCCCCCCAATTGGAGAATGTACTGGAACCCACTAGCCTGCTCATCTCCTTGGCCTTGCCCTGTTAAGTCCAGGGTGCATGTTGTTTTCTCAGCTCCCCCAGTACCCGGGCCCGGGCCTCCCGAGTCACTGCTGAGAAGACCCGGCCCTGGAGCCCATCAGCCAGTTATGATCTGCGGGAGCGACTGTGTCCAGGCAGTGCCCTGGGTAATCCTGGTGGTCAGGAGCAGCAGGTGCCCACTGATGAGGCAGAGGCCCAGATGCTGGGCTCTGCAGACCTGGATGACATGAAAAGTGAGTGACACCCCATGGTAGTCCTTGCTGCCCACTCCCACAGGCTCCCAGCCTGCCAGGGACCTTGAAGAGGCTTGTGTTCTCCCCCACCCAGGGCTGAGTCCTCTCTGCAGTGTTCCTGTCTGCTGGAATGTGACCAATGACAGGGAGCTCACTACCTTACCAAGCCATCTCTTTGATTGCCAGAGCTGAGATTTCCATTTGTGACACCTTTGGTTCTGATTCTGTCCTCTGAGTCACCCCTGAAATAAGGCACCCTCTCTCCCTGTGGCATTTGAGGACATCATTATATTCCCTTCTCCCAAGGCCCTTCTTCTCAGAGAAAACTCTGAACCCCTTCTTCTTACCCCCTGCAGACCAGCTCTTTGAGCCTGAATCAGGCTGCCAGGCCCCTTCTCCTCCCTGAGCCAGGACCTCTGTCAGTCCTGTCCCACCACCCTTGGCTGGTCCTGGCTGTGATCTCTGTACATTCCTTCCATCTTATCAGTGCCCTGGCTTTGGTGCCACCTGTCATCACCCATGGGGCTCTGTGCCCAGACCAGGGGCATCACTGGCCCCGCCCTCCTTCTCTTCAGAACCACTGGATGTGTTTGCGGGGGCAGGGTAGGGTAGGGCTTTGAGCTCAGTACGTCATGGAAAGTTGCCAGGGCCTGAGGACAGGGACAGGAACAATCCGATGGCAGCAGTAGCAGCGGCAGTGGCAGCAGGATGGGGGGGGGGGTATGGGGAGGGCGTGTTTACAGACCCAGGGTGGGGGCTGGAATCATCAGGGAGAAGGCTTGGGGACGTGAGGAGTTGGGGTCAGGAGGCCTCGCTACCTCCAGCTCTGCCTGGACAAAGACCACTGCTGCCCAGGCTCTCACTGTTGGGAGAACCCAGGATCTGGGAGGGAGCAGGGGCTGAGGCCTTGGCTGCGGGGGAATGACGAGCCTGCTGGAGGAGGTCATGGAGCCCAATGGGGCACTGAGCCCTGGGCCTAGGAACACTGAGAGCCACAGTTCTGGGAGGAATCCAGCCCCCAGCCCTCGAGACTTGCTGGCCTCAGAGGACTTAGAGATGTTTGTGCTGGACTTTGAGGACTATGGCCTGTGGGAGCCCACCAGGGGCCAGGAGAGCCCCATGGCAGGGGCACCAGCTGGTGAGTAACTGGATGGCCAGCTTGTCCCCAGCTGTTGGCCTGGGAAAGGGCAGGCAGAAACATATCCTGCTGGGGTGTGTATCCATGGGGCATGGGTGCTAGGAAGTGTTGAGGGCTTGGTGCCTAGGGACTGGTGTCAGTTATAGGGCCCCCTGGGGAGGAAGTGGCAGGGACCAGTAGGTCCAGCTGGGGATATGGACTGAGTTAGGGTCCGATTTTTTGTGTGACTTGGCCAGTGGTTCTCTTTGTGATTTGGGGTTAACCATCTTCCCCCTTCCTGTCAGTCTCTTTATCCATGAAATGGCCACATCAGATGATGTGGTCCTCGTAGTGTGTCCTCTTGGTGACTGTCACCCTCACCAGGTAGACTTGTTGGGCAGAGCAGAGGGTTGGAGTCTGTAGTGCGTGACTTTAAGGTCTGAGCTGGACGTGTGGGACCACCAGCCCACTTTCTGTGCAGGTCACCGCCTGGAGGACAACCCTGGTGTGCGGCGGCACTTAGTGAAGAAGCCGTCCCGGACTCAGGGAGGGAGGGGCAGCCCAAGTGGCTTGGCCCCCATCTTGCGCAGGAAGAAGAAGAAGAAGAAGCTGGACAGGAGGCCTCACGAGGTGCAGGGGCCTGAGGGCGTGGCCTGGGGCTTCCTCACCTGCTCTGCCTGGAGCCTTCTTTCTCTTCTTCCCTGCCCTTCCCTGGAGTGACATTTCCCATGCCACCCTGTCCCACCTGGCAGCCCCTAGGCTCTCACCCCTGTCTTCTACCTCAGGTATTTGTGGAGCTGAACGAACTGATGCTAGACCGAAGCCAAGAGCCCCACTGGCGGGAGACAGCCCGCTGGATCAAGTTTGAGGAGGACGTGGAGGAGGAGACGGAGCGCTGGGGGAAGCCCCACGTGGCTTCCCTCTCCTTCCGCAGTCTTCTGGAGCTCAGGAGGACCATTGCTCAGGGTAGAGATCCTGAGGCCTGCCCACCTCAAGACCACAGCCCATGCCAGACTGCCCAGTACCCTGGGCCTACTCCCTGGAGCTCAGGGCCAAGGCAATGAGATCTGGCCACCACTTTGGGGTCATGGAATCCAATTGCCTCAGCCACTCATAATCTTGAGGGGCTGGACCTATTGGTATCTAATACTATACCTGGTGACCAGTGGATGTTCCCAAGGAAGGGGAAGTTGAATGCTGCAAATTCATGGAAGTCTTTCCTTCCTTGGTGAGGAGGGGCCTGCCTGCTTCTGTGCTCGGCTTTCACACCCCTTCACCAGCCAGCCCGTGGCCACAGGGGACCATGTATCTGCCTGAATGCATCGGGTACTTACCCAGCACACATGCTTGCCCTGTGGGGCAAGTTAGCATGGGAGGTGGTCTCCTATCTGACAGGATGTGCCCCCTCCACCTGTATTCCTAGGAGCGGCCCTCCTGGACCTGGAGCAGACCACCCTGCCGGGCATTGCGCACCTAGTGGTGGAGACTATGATTGTGTCTGATCAGATCCGGCCAGAGGACAGAGCCAGCGTCCTGCGTACTCTGCTGCTAAAACACAGGTGCAGGCAGGGCACCTGGGGGCGGGTCTGGTTCAGCACAGGCTCTTTTGAATGACTCTCACCTCTGCTTGAATACCAGAAGTGATAG